TCCCAGTTGATATGAATGGCTATGTGGAAATTAATGAAATTAGACGCATCTAACTGTTCTAAAACTATTTCGTTGTAAAATAAAAGGGGCAGAAACATTGCTTTTAACCTGCATCTCGTGAAAGCACGCCTAGAAGCAATATAAACTGTTGTATCTGACACAGTTATTCAGCCTTCTAACCGCTAAACGTAATTGAAGTATAGTTTTTTTAACTGACAGTTCTTAGTTAACGCCCTGTATAAAAAAAGTATGATGTTTCTGGTCCACAAGTGAGCTGAAAGTATACAGCAAATGAGAATTTTCTATCAATAATTAATCAGCTCTGCACAAAGACTTCCAGGGATATGCTTAAGACATTGAATCAAAAACAAATTTGTTTTCCAGTAATTGCTGAGCTTTAAAAAAGCAAAATGAAATTGATATGACACAACACAAACTTTACAAGTTAAAATAAATTGCGCATTGTGAAAGCGTTTTGCTTTCGTCTGTTTGGTCTTTTCTCATTTCAGGTGATTTTACCTAGTATCTGTCCGTGAGAAAAAGGGTCTAACTTCCCCATTTTACCATGTTTAATTGTGTTGAGTCAGAAATGAATAAACATCAGTTACGAAGCATGAACCATGATCATAGTCGGAGGAAAAATGTATCCATCTAATAATTTTATTAATAGTGAGTTCATGTTTCGTATAAGTTAACATGGCGACCTGCTATTAATTTATGCAGCAAAATGATGTTAGCAGGAAGAATTTGAACAACGATGAACTTAGATGCTTGAACACCAATTAAATCCTTACAATCCACGCTTTTGCTGGTATAATCACGTTTATATATGTGCTAGTCATTTAATATTACTATAATACTGCTATCAAAAACAAACTTTTGCAATGTTGAGAAAATTGTTCTGTATAACCACTAATGTTTAAGATCAAGTGTGTAGGTGAGCTAAACTTACAAATCACGGAGAAACATGGTCAGACTAATGCGACAAGATACATTTTACTGCTTCAATTGTGCTGTTAAATGCAGCAATTGCTCGTTACTGCTGACTATTTTCTGAAGCAGATCATAAAATGTTGTAAAAATGCATTTTATGCAGGTCTGTCGATGTAAACATTAACCGATAAACGTAATTGCAAATATTAAAACGTTTCTTAACAGACGCAAGATTTCATTTTTAATTAAGTCAGTCCTTATGTATTCACATTGTAGGTTTTTTAACCGCTAACGTTATAAACTCATTGTTTAAAAATCATGCGCAATTGAGCATTTTTACAATTAAATCAGCGTATTGAAAAAAATTTAGTGATTGATAATACACTGATAATTGTTGAGATATTAAATACTCAGTAAGCAACCTTATGTGCTAGAGATACACGTAAATGCACTACTCATACTAAATTGAATGTTGTAGAGGTAAAGACAAATTAAAATCAGTAAATTCTTGAGGTGAAAATAATTATTTCTTCATATTTATGGCTAAATCAAGTTGTCAATGTAATTTAACATCAGTTGTGACAAATTGAAGCTTTGAAAAGGAAATACCTGTTCACCCAATTACTAATCTAACACATTTTTCCCTCTAAACATGGTTTAAACCAAGGCTAAGATATATTCGAATCGCATTAATTTATCCTCCCCATCTAACAAATCAAATAGTAATATTGTGAAAAATATGCGTAAGTAAAGACGAAGCTTAAAATCTAAATTCAAAATTAACTCAACATAAAACAAAATCGCAAAGCTCTATACAGATAAGCGAATAGTTTGCTCAATGAATAATGGCTGTGGTCTGCATCGTGTACCAAAGTGTTTGGGTTTCAAGCATGTCTTGTGTCATTGTGTTACTAATAAAATTGAGCTGCTGCGGTTAGACCAAATTAAAACTGCTGCAGCTAAATTTGCGCCGTTAAAGAAACGATGCAATCTTTATTGTATACTAATGTCTCATATAAACGAACGCTTTGAACGACCTTATAAAAGCCTGTATTTGGACCATAATACGCTGGCTTGGCTCCGCAAACTAAGGTAGAACGCTATGGTTGAAGTGACATTACAATATGTGCAACAAACCAATTGCAGATCATTCAGTTTTTATTTCTAGCTTTGGTAGATTTTATGTATTTGAAAATCAGATATTTTAGCAGACTGATAACCGTCACTGCTTGCATTTACGAACCAATACACTCTACTATAATAAACATCAGTACGAACATTTGAGTAAGCATTGCAGTTCTAATTCAGAGAGTCTATATTTCAGTGGCATTTTGTCCCTGTTAAATAATTTACTTTGGCAGTATATATCGACTAATTACCCGATTTATTAGCAATGCATTACAAGAGGCCCTCCCTCTCTTTAAATGTTCTAAGCATCATGCCTAAGGTGGCTATCAAAACAGCAGCTTGATTATTGACATCCTATCTGGTATTTAATGCACTGCTCAGTCAAGAAAATTCTTGCTTAAGCTCGACATCTTTTTCTTTTGGTTATAAAAATATTTACTGATAGTTCTGCGCAAAAATTTATAATTTGTCTAACTTTATTTGGAAATCACTGTCCCACGTGTGTTAAAGAAGCATATCAAGCAAATGCTACCATGAACTCGTGATTGTCCCTTGACGACCAGCAGTTCTTTCGAATTCCTTAACGGTTATAATAACACTGGACAATGTTTAGCACATAGCATTTTGTACAATATGGCAGCATTAAATCCACACAAATTACCGACCATCTCAGTTTATTTGTTACTGACATTATAACGTTTGTCCTTTACTTATAGAAAAGCACTTAAATAACGGCAATTTTTTTCCTTTTTGACGCTTTATGGGTTGCTAAACGTGAAATCAATTTGATTTAGTATTTACCTAGACCTAAAGAAAAGGCGTAATGTAAAACCTGTCAGTGAATTAGTGTAAACTTTGCCAAAAAGCAATGTGAGAAATCTAGGGCAATTATTAATCCCTAACAACTACCCTCCCTGAAAAGCTAAAAAGGCTTCTGCATTATGCTGACTTCGAGTATTGTTGGCTTCTTCGTCGTTTTCGACTACTTTGCATTGCAGTTGCATAGCTAACTGCTGCCAGTATATCTCTGTTCATTAAAAATAAGCGTTGCGTTTGGTGGCAAAAGCAGTGATGCGTCGAAAAGCACATTCCGCGGGACGCTGGTTTGGCGATTTATTGACGCAACTCAATTTCTCAATCGAAGTTGCTTGCTATGCCTAGATCCACTGTCACGCTGAACATTGGTCGTGCTTTGGTCGATGGTCTCGAACATACACAGCTGCTTTGATTTCGAGTGGCGTGGTGGATTTCGCACTCAGAGGCTTCAGGCGATTGTCTTGTACCGGAATCATTGCGAAATTTGTTTTCTTCAATTTGCTACCCACGGACGACTTAAATGCCTTGTTTAGTGTGTTGTACGATGCACCAGATTGTCGACGGACGTCTGTCCTTCCCCACGGGATTTTAGCAGGGCTTGTTTCAAAGTGTTGACGAACCTATCCGCCTGTTTATTTGACTATGTGTGGTAGAGTGGGGAATGCATGTGTGTAATTGCATGCAGTCGCCAGAAATCCTTGAAATTTTGAGATGTGAACTATGATCCCATTTTCTGTGACTCTTCTTTCTGGAGTCCCATGGCGGCTACAAATCTGAGAGAGAATCTGCAATGTTCTCGTTGTTGTTGGAGCAGTCATTAGGATGATCTTCGGGCATTTTGGGTAGGCGTTAAGCAGAACAAGGTACGAGACTCCGTTGATTGGTCCAGCAAAATCAATATGGATTCGTGAACAGGGCTTTTTTAATTATGGCCAAGGGACTGAAGGCAACTTTAGAGGGTTCTAGACGGCGGCCTAATGACATTGGCCGCAACTCTTGACTAGGTCTGCGATTTGATGATTCATATTTGGTCAGTATGCGAAGTGGCGGGCGATAGACTTCATACGACCTATGCCGGGAGGAACTGTATGAAATTGACGGAGGACCCGCAAGCGCTGTGATTTGGGCACCTCAACGCGTTTTCCGAACATCAAGCAGCCGTCTTTAACGCAGAGCGAATTGCGACGTTGGAATAACTGATGAAAATTTTCGGTTGGGATGAGCGTTTTGACCATTTGCCTTGGACCGAACGGATGGCCTGCCTTAGTGTGCTGTCCGAGGCCGTTTCTTGGTTGATGTCAAGAATTGCAACTGGCAGCGCATGAACTGCTATTTGAGATATCTGTTGAGTGATATCTTCATTAACGCAGACGGTAGCAATGACTGCATCTTCCTTGGCATTGGCTTAATTACTGATGAGCCGTGATCGGGAGTCTGCTTGCCTGAAATCCTCTCTTCGATCGTACTGGATTTCAAATTTATAGCGCAGTAGATTAAGTGCGTACCCTTGTAGTTGGTTCGAGCAGTGACTTTGAATGCCTGGTTTGATACAAAGATTGAAATCAGTGGCTTGTGGACTGTCAGTAGAGTGAATCGACGGCCATAAATGAATTTGTGGAAATGGCAGACATCGGAAAACAAAGCAAAAGCTTCTTTCTCAATCTGTCGGTAGCGTTGTTCAGACGTTGTCAGCGATCTGATGACGACTCCAATGCCCTTGAATAGCGCGGATATTATCAGAATCCGGATGCTGGCCAAAGGTGGCAAAGATAAGACCCAGATACTTGGATGAAGTCAAAAAAAAATTACACTTTTATTTCCGAGGTCTTTAACCATTTTCGTAAATCCGTTGAAGGATTTTTTAAATCCGCTTGCGCAACTCATCTTTGCGAAATGGATACGATTAATAGGTCGCCGAGGTTTGCTGCCACTCCATGAATGCCGAACACAATGGTGTCCATGAACCGTTAAAAAATAGCAGAAGCGGTCGTGACTCCTAAATGTGGGCAGTTGTATTGGAATACACCGCGACGGGTATTGATGGTTAGCAGTAGGCAAGACTCTGGAACGACATCCAGTTGTAGGTAAGCATCTGCTAAAACAAATTGGCAAATTATATTGTGCTAGTCAGAATTGTGAATAGGTTCTCTGGGGTTGTAAGACGAGAGTCGGGTGTCTCCATAAATGCCGATAGACAAGTGGAGAAGTTTCTTCATATCCAAATTGAACAATTCGCTTTCATTACCAGGCCGATTATGGTCAACAAGGCTAAGTGTGAGACCAAAGATAAGACGCCCTTGTGCTCAAGAGGTTCTAACTCAGCGTAAACCAGCCGTAACTATGCGTATGGCACCGGTCATTTGGGATGGAAAACCGGTTTGCGGTCAAGTAGAAGACGAAGAGTGGCATGTGTCGCAGAACGGTGTCTTAATTCTTGCTTAAAAACCGTTAATGATTACCGCGGTATTTTGCAAGGTGTTGTCGACAAGCGTAGGGCATTGCAGATTCGGCATATCGGGATATCGGCCACACCCAATTGTTCGGACCAATCCAGACCAAGGAAGTTCAGGTTAGCGTTGCGACATGGCACGTGCCAGTGAAGATTAATCCGAGAAAAAAACCACAGCATTGCATTTGGCCGTGGAGCTGAAATTTACAACAGCAAGCACTTATTACTGTTTCAGAGGTGTCCACGAGTTGAGGACACCCGATGAAGCACTGTTGCGTTTCCGAGATGATGTTAACATCCGAGGATGTGTCTAGCTGCAGACAAACTGGATGGCCATTGATGAGGACGGTTGCATGCATCCTCTGCTTTAGTTGAGTGTCTTCAGTGGTGACCCGTAGGCTGAGGGATGCGACAGTGGGGCTGGCTGGTGCGGCTATTGACCTTTCCTTTGTGTAAATGTGGGGGTGCCGTCGACTCCTGTGAGACGTGGACGATTACCAGTATCCATCCATTTGGCCCTTAGCTGTGCATTGCTGGCGTCGGTGCCATCCTTCACATTTCTAGCACGAGAAAGGAGGAGTGTTCCTTGATTTAATTTGATAATTTGTGTCTGCTTATGCTGTCTCCGATTTTGGCTAAAGAGGTCTGGGATGTTTAAAAGTGGGACATGGCTTTTAGATACGTTGAACAGAAATGAATTCATGAGCACTGCAGCCATCAGCTTAGACTATTCAGGAGTCATGCAGCACGCCGCATGACCGTGTAGGTGTTCATCGCGGGTATTGTTAAGCTTCACAGAGGGATTTTGATCAGCCGTGTGAAGCAGCCGCGTTTGCTGATCCATGTTTTTAGAGAATTAATTGCTGCAAATAAGAAGGATATTTTTGGGCTTGTCATCAGTAATTTAATTAAAAACGATTTTTCTCGCACTGCTAAATGGTCAAGGAAGTATTCAAACTCTCCTATTTGGAGTTTGAAGCATCAATACGGGGTACTGAATAAGGAGATGCTTTCACCAAATATCCTCTTGTAATTCTGAATGTTTTCTCCAGAAGTACTTGGAGAGGATTGCGATCGTCTATCTGTTCTGCTTGGCTGGGCCCAGTTTGCAACCAAGAAGTCTAAACTTCCATGCGTAATCCCCGGACGTGAAATCGACTAGAAACAGGTCCTTGTAACGAAAAATATCAGGACTTAAACGTTGCGCTTTTCACAGAATCATAGGAGAACCCCGAGATGCTATTAATGAGGCCGTCATTTGCCGACTTATTAGAGGAAGCCTCCTGAGAGGACTGGCCGTCTGCAAGCATTGACACTAGCCGCTCAAGTAATAGTCCCATCCCTTTACCACTCATCTCACCTTCATCGCCAAAATTTGTTACGTCTGCCCGTCGCAATCAGTAAACAACTCATAAAAGGGCAATTGGTCCCTTGTTGACACTATGTATACTAGTACATTTGACACCAACCATTGAAGCACAAATCAGCAGCAAACCGTCTTATGCAAACCAGCAGCGCATACCTCGTCTTGTTGAACAATCACACTCTCTAATTTGCACTTATAATAAAGCAGTTAAAGTTGTTCATTAGACAATTCAGCTTTATTAATTCACGATGACAGTGGAAATGCGCACGTCAGTCGTCAAACAGGCAAAGGGTACAAAAAAACAACTAGTTGGATATGTGTCTTTAACAAACACATGCAAAAATGCACGTAATTGTGCTTAAAAAGAATTAGCAGTAGCACAAGCGATCTGCAAAAATTACACGCCCATTTTGAAAATCGTCAGTAGTGTGCAAAGAAAGGGGATGAAAGAGAGCATTGAATGTCATACATGGACGACAGAAGTTGCAGCGATAGAAATAACAGGGTAAGATGCACGAAGAATGCAGTCTGTCTATATGTAGATAGAGTGGCATTGGTAGCCAAATATGCAAAATCCCGTTTGTGAGAACATTAGGCACACCTTCGTGCGACACTAAAGGGATTTAGGGGCAGCCGCAAGTCATTGATTCCGTGGGCGAATTGACAAGATTCACCCCAAGTGCACGCGCCATGGCGTTCATATTGTATGCAAAGTTGAGTTTTGTAAAACGCACCGAAAGGCGTTGCTTGAAGTCGATGTAGTAACTGTGAAGCCAGCAAAGAAGGCTCCTCTGAAATTTGAATCTGGCTGTTCCAACGTCCTAGTATGGGAAGACCTGTTGCCGACTGCTCTGTTGCCTGCAGCAGTTGAGGCGTCGACTTTTGAGTCGGAGTCCTAGTTGAAGGCTCGTAAAATTTAAAATATGAATGCTTACACTTCTGTTGGATGAAAAGCACCCAAATTAGTCTGCAGCATTTCATGAACCAAAGATCCTGCCAAACATGAATTCTGATCTTGTCTGTCGCTCAGGTGATTACCACTGTGTGTTGATGCTGCGAGTTGAGTGTACGCTCTCCGAAACGCACACTTGGTCTCATCCATCTCAACATTCATCAGTTCTTGGATGCCAGGCTCAAACGACGACTGTTGAGGCCAATTCCTGGTTAAAGGCTCGTAAAAGTGTAAAATATGAATGCTTACACTTCTGTTGGATGAAAAGCACCCAAATTAGTCTGCAGCATTTCATGAACCAAAGATCCTGCCAAACATGAATTTTGATCTTGTCTGTCGCTCAGGTGATTGCCACTGTGTGTTGATGCTGCGAGTTGATTGTACACTCTCCGAAACGCACTCCTGGTCTCATCCGTTACAACATTCATCGGTTCTTGGTTGCCAGTTTCAAACGACGACCGTCGAGGCGGATTCCTAGTTTAAGGCTCGTAAAAGTGATAAATATGAATGCCTACGCTGCTGTTGGACGGAAAGCTCCCAAATTAGTCTGCAGCATTTCATGAACCAAAGATCCTGCCAAACATGAATTTTGATCTTGTGGGTCGCTCAGATGATTACCACTGTGTGTTGATGCTGCGAGTCGAGTGTACACTCTCCGAAACGCACTCCTGGTCTCATCCGTTACAACATTCATCGGTTCTTGGTCGCCAGGGTTAAACGACGACTGTTGAGGCCGAATCCTAGTTTATAGCTCGTAAAAGTGTAAAATATGAATTCTTACACTGCTGTTGGACGGAAAGCTCCCAAATCACGCTGCAGCACTTCATGAACCAAAGATCCTGCCCCACATGAATTCTGATCTTGTCTGTCGCTCATTTGATTACCACTGTGTTTTGATCCTGCGAGTTGAGTGCACGCTCTCCGAAACGCACACTTGGTCTCATCCATCTCAGCCTTTTAGATTAATGTTTAACACGATCGTGCATCTGTGTTTATATAACTTTTCATGAGTTGTTATCAGAGGTGATGCGGCGTGAGGTGCTAAACGAATTATTTCCCCCCCCCAAATTGTCATTCATATCTCAGTTGTGATTCTTACTCAGCAAACAGTGATTGCGAAATCGTCGATTTGTTCCACCCTCCCCCTGTTACTTCTCACCTATTTGATGGAATGCTTGCGTCAAATTAACAATGTGCAAAAGTTACAGGTGACTTGTTTTTGATATTCTAAAATTTAATCGATTGCAGATATTGCCCAAAAAAGGCCAAATTTCGCTCGCTTGTCATATTATACTGCAGGTCTAATCGCGTTGCCACACAATTTTGCTTTGTTATCTGCTTTGTAGCACCATAAACGAAGACATATGCGAAATTCAAGTAAAAGGAAATGCAGCCATTGCCTTAATTCAAGTAGTTACGTGTTGATTGGCATATATATTTTAATGTAGGTGAACACAAATCACGGCGCCTCTCCTGGAACGTCGTTAGGAGTCAAGATAACTCAACCAGGCTCTGCGAATGGACAACGTGCAGGCATGGGCCATGTCAGCCCGACCACATTCTGGTTTGAATATTAACAACATCAGTTGCCTCAACAGGGTCACAGACATTCTTGGTATGCTATATTTTTCGTTTGAAATCTTTAATGTGACTGCAGCACAGGAGGTTGGGAAAGAATCCTTCGAACCAGATTTCCTTGTACGTTTGAATCCTGCGATGGAAGCAAACACTGCTCCTTCGGTTGTTGAATGCACAGTGGTTTCACCTGCTTTAATACGTTTGCAGACTGACAGATTTTGTGAAAGCCTTCATAGCTCATCCTCTCGATTTGACGAATGCGACATCGTTTTCTGTTGCACTGACGTGTGACCCTAATGAGACACTACCGGTGTCGTGAATCTAAGTACGATTCCCGTCGCGATGCACGCTCATTTAATTCATGGGACACAAGTGTGTTGTGCATTTGGCTTTTGGATTACCCTAGAAAAGTGCGTTGACTTGCGCTTATGTGACATGTCGAAGTATCGAATATAATGACAAATATCGATACCTGCAGCATAGAGACGTGGCTGATTACTTAGAAGGGCTTAGCTAATGATTCGAAGTAGTGAAAACGATGGCGTTTAAGAAGTGCGTATTACATTGATCCATGTTAATTTAAACCATGGCAAATCAGTCTTTGGATTGTGTTGAGGAGACGATGGAAAACACTTTGCTTTGTTAATTCCTATTTTTGTACCAACCATGTTCTTTCAAATCCACACGTATACTGCCAGCACCAAACAGTTGAACATGCCATGTGGTGAAGAAAATAATCGTGTCTTCACAGAAACGTGAATATCTCCATACACTAATGCGAACTTAGGGCAAAACGCCTAGCATTACAGGGTCAAAATAGTTGCAAATTTTACCATTAAAGAACGGTAACATATTCATTTTCTACACATGCTTTTAGCTTCATGCGTTGTGGTTTTCTACTGTGCAGGACTTACGAATTTTGATCTACTTGTTCAACGTGCTCTAGCAAAGCTCTTTAGCTGTATTTTAATGAAATTATTTAAAGTGACAATTTGGTAGACAGACAACTAGCAATGCATAGGGGATCCCAATGTCTACAGCAGATTACGCAAGCATAGAATGAGAACATGTGAGATATCGTTTTTTGTATTCTCCAATGACTTGTTGTGGTGTGGTGTGGTGTAATCAAAGGCACATTCACATCTCATATTTACAATGATCAGGTCGAATTCGTAACAGCTTTCATCGCAAGTGTTATACTGGTGTGAATGTACCAAATCCCCCATTCAGCATTGCACTAATTGCTAGTTTTGTTAAAGGTCATAGCACATACACATAGAAAGGCGCTTATTTGTCTAGGTTAGAGCGAAACCAAACTTCGCTCGGCGTGTCGGAGTCAGTTGATGAGGAAACAGGATGCCATTGCACACATCAGATCACAGTGCAGCACAAGTATGTCATATGTCTTGCAAATGACACATCGATCATAACATAGCTTCCGATTTCGACCTGTTTTTTTCGGATCCACCTTTCTGGTGCTATATATATTTATTCACTGACATTAGTTTTGCTACGCTATTTATCAAGTAAAGTTCAACCCTGACTTGAATTAATGTCAATTTTCGTTACGGCACTCCGCACGTGGCTGACGTGAGTAAATCTCTCAACACGAGCTCTGGTCTTGTTGTCGTATTAGCCCAGGTATTTTGTTTCCAGTTTTAGCTAGGGATTTGGTACCGTTATTTGAGTGGCCTTCACTTTTTGTTACGATAAACTTACAAATTTGGCGATTCAGGTGAGATGAGTGACAAAGGAATGGAACAATCACTAGCGCGGCTAGTGTCAATGCTTGCAGATCGCCAGTCGTCACAGGCCCCTTTCTTCAGCATGCCGTTGATTGACGGTCTCACCAAGAGTAACGCTGAGTTCTCTTATAATCCAGACAACAGCGTAACCTCTGAAACGGCAATCAGTGCCAGCAGCGGTGACCTTTCTTCCGCGGCCAAACGGAATGCTGTGGTTTCGACAGCTGAACAACCTTCACTGGCACGTGTTATGTCCACAATGCAAAACTGAACCTCCATGGTCTGGATTGGATTGAACCATTGGGTTTTATCAGTATCTCGATCAGCTTCATCTGCGATGCCCTACACTTGTCGACAACACCTGGCAAAAATACCGTGGACATCATCAACCTGTCAACCACAGTTTTCAAGCTTTATTGAGACACTTTTCTACACCATAGGCTCGCTTTTGCCTTAGGCCGGAAGCAAAACTGGTCTCCCGTACAAAAAGACCAGTTCGATTCGCATAATAACTGCTGGTTAACGCTGAGTTAAAAAGTCTTGAAACGAAGTCGTCCTATCCCCGGTCCCATGCTTAGCCTAGCGGCCCCAATCGTTGTGGTAAAGAAGGCCAATGATTCAATCGGGATATGCGCAGACTTTGTTACTATTCCAAATGCAGCTCTGGAA